TCGAGTGCGCATGGGAGGTTGCAAACAAGGTCGGCGGCATCTACACCGTTATCAAGACCAAGGTCCCTGTCACTGTCTCCGAGTTTGGCGACAGATACACTCTCCTCGGCCCGCTCTCCTACAAGACCGCGCCCATGGAGGTCGAGGCGGAGGAGCCGGCAGACCCCCACATCGCAGCCTCGCTTGAAGCGATGCGCGCAAAGGGCGTCAAGGCCCTCTACGGTCGCTGGCTGATCGAGGGCGCTCCCCGCGTCCTCCTATTCGACACCGGAAGTCAGTACCACCGTCTCGACGAGTGGAAGGGCGATCTCTGGAACCTCTCCGGCATCCCCACCCCGCCCAACGACCACGAAACGAACGAGACCATCGTCTTTGGTTACCTCGTCGCCTGGTTCCTCGGTGAAGTACGCGTCGTCCCGACCCGCCGTCTTCTGCCGCCGCCAGGGCCATCGCTGACCATCTTCTCCCTGTACAGTACGTATCGAGGCAGTTCGACACGGCCGTCATCGCACACTTCCACGAATGGCAGGCAGGCATCGCCATCCCACTCTGCCGCAAACGGCATATCGATGTCACGACCGTGTTCACCACGCACGCGACGCTCCTCGGCCGCTATCTGTGCGCTGGCAGCGTCGATTTCTACAACAACCTCCAGTATTTCGACGTCGATCACGAGGCGGGCAAGCGCGGCATCTACCACCGCTACTGCATCGAGCGCTCCGCCGCGCACTGTGCCGATGTCTTCACGACCGTCTCCCATATCACCGCCTACGAGGCCGAGCACCTGCTCAAGCGCAAGCCCGACGGTGTCCTCCCCAATGGGCTGAATGTCGTCAAGTTCCAGGCGATGCACGAGTTCCAGAACCTGCACTCCACTGCCAAGGCGAAGATCAACGAGTTCGTCCGCGGGCACTTCTACGGCCATATGGACTTCGACCTCGACAACACGCTCTACATGTTCACGGCCGGCCGCTACGAGTACCGCAACAAGGGTGTCGACATGTTCATCGAGTCCCTCGCGCGGCTCAACTATCGCCTCCAGGCTGCGAACTCCAAGGTCACCGTCGTTGCGTTCCTCATCATGCCCGCCGCCACGCACTCGTACACCATCGAGTCGCTCAAGGGACAGGCTGTCACGAAGCAGCTCCGCGATACTGTAACGGAGATCCAGAACCGGGTGGGGCAGCGTTTGTTCGACATGGCAGCTAGATCCAACGGGTGCGTGCTTTTCGGCGTCTCTTTTCTCCGTCTCTGACATTGGTAATTCATCAGGGATTATGCAAAATTGCCTCCGACAGATGAGTTGCTATCAGACGAAGACAAGGTACTTCTGAAGCGACGCATTTTCGCGCTGAAGCGCAATGGCTTGCCACCGGTCACGACGCACAATATGGCCGACGACGCGGCCGACCCGATCCTGAACCAGATTCGCCGCGTCAAGCTGTTCAACACCTCGCACGACCGGGTCAAGGTCGTCTTCCACCCCGACTTTTTGAACGCGAACAACCCTGTGCTCGGGCTGGACTACGAGGAGTTCGTGCGCGGATGCCATCTGGGCGTCTTCCCGAGTTACTACGAGCCGTGGGGCTATACGCCCGCGGAATGCACTGTGGTATGCATCATTCGTCTTACGCGCGCCGCTCATCATTGCTCACTTATCGCCTGTCCGCGCAGATGGGCATCCCGTCCGTGACAACCAACCTGTCCGGCTTCGGGTGCTTCATGCAGGACATGATCGAGCGGCCGGAGGACGAGGGGTGCTACATCGTCGACCGGCGCATGAAGTCGCCCGAGGAGTCGGTCAACCAGCTCGCGGACGTGCTCTTCTCGTTCTGCGGGCGCTCGCGCCGCCAGCGCATCAACCAGCGCAACCGCGTCGAGCGCCTCTCGCCGCTGCTCGACTGGAAGAACCTCGGCATCGAGTACAGCAAGGCGCGCCAGCTCGCGCTGCGCCGCGCGTACCCCGACGCGTTCTATGCCGGCGCGGAGGGCGACGAGGAGTTTGACTTTGCGAGCGGCCCGGAGAAGCTTGCGCTCAGCGTCCCGCCGAGCCCGAGGTTCAAGAGCCAGGGCTTTGCGACGCCTGGTGACATGGGCACGCTTACGGAGGAGGTGCGTTGGATGTTCTTCACTCATGGAAGGCTCGCTGATTTCAGTATAATAGATGCAGGCGCTGAGCACGAGCGACTACCGCGGGTTCCCGTGGCCTGCGTCGCAAGAGGACGAGGAGGACAGCTATCCTTTGTGCGTTATCTTGTTGCGTTTCAGAGATGGAATGAATGCTGATGGATGTGGTGTGCAGCCCGCTGGTGATGAAGGTGCGCTCGCGCGCGTCGAGCGTCATGTCGGGCGCGAGCACGCCCGGAGGCGGCCCGTTCAAGTCGCTCAGCGAGGGCGACCTGCGCAAGGCCGATGCGGCGCTCTCGCAGGTCAACGGCCATGGTGCGGTCAACGGCAACGGCAAGGCGTAATCTCCGCGTGCGCGCGCGTATAGAAAAGGACTTTTTATTCATTCATATGTGCGGCGTGGGGCGGTGCCGGCTGGAAATAGGAATGTACGGGCTATGATATATACTCGTTCGTCTACCTTTGCTTTTTCTTCTCCCTTTCTCCTTTGACCTGTCTGTCTGTCTGTCATTCACACATCATAACCATAACACCACACACCACACACTCCCTGTCCCCGTCTGTCTGTTTTCGATTCACCCCTGATTCGCTTGTGTGTTCGTTCTTGCCCGTTCTTCACCTTCGTCTTCGTCTTCTCGATACATATCATATGATACGCAACAGTAACCCGTAGCTATAGTTTGATACATATGCGATTGACGTGAACGTGAGATCCGGATCCCGGGGTACATACGTGCCGAGGCCCGTCTACAATCTGTACATATTACAACAACAATAGTTTCGTCTGGTTTATGGACCCCGTTCCATTTCTTCTCTAGATGGCGATGTCGACGTCGGCTGCGTGCTCTGATCTCCGAGTACATTGAATGCGGTGCGGTTTTATGCTACAGGTGCCTCGGGTGCAGGCGCGGGTGCAGGTGCAGGTGCGGGCGCACCTTCTGCGGCAGCCTGCGCGGGCTTCGCGTTCTTGCCTTTTCCCGGTGGGGGCGGGTGGTACACCTTAACCTGCACACATCCCCACATCAATCTTTTGCTCACCAAAACGCAACGCATGCCCACGCACCTTCTTTTTCTTCTCCGGCTTCGCGTTCGGATCCGGGTACGCGAGCTTCTCGACGCGCTGCCACTCCTCGTCCGCGAGGAACGCCGCGCGGACCGGCTCGAGCAGGTGCACGAGCGCGTCCGCGACGGCCGCCTTGAGGTCCTTCGGGTGCAGCTCCTTCCTCGCAAACGCGTCCTTCAGCTCCTCATAGCTCCCATAATGGCTCGACCCGCCGAACTTGTCCTCGCGGAACACGCTGAACACCGTGCCCGCGGGCGCGCCCGCGCCCACGAACGGCGCCTGCGCGCCGATCGTCTCGCCCGGCGCGCCCTCGTCCTTGTCCGCGGCCGTCTCGCCGTGCAGCCGCTCGAGGCGCAGCTCGCTGATCGGGATGAGCACGGCCTCGACGAACGCGAGCACGCCGTTGTCTGAGACGTTGCCTTCTTCGCAGAAGGCGGATTTGATCTTCTTGCGCACGACCTCGGGCGCGTCGAGGAAGTCGATCTTGGAGTTCGGGTCCGAGGACGACATTTTGCCGCCCGTCAGCCCGGGGACCATCGCGTTCATGAGGTGCGCGCGTTTGGCGTAGCCGAGGCGCGGGAGGTAGAGCTCGGCGAAGGTGAAGATTTTGCGCTGGGGGTGGGGTGGTTAGGAGGGCATGGAAGAGGTGGGAGGGGGGGAAGCGCACCTGGTCGACGCCGCCGAATTGGAAATCGACGTCGAGGTACTGCTCGTCGAGCGCCTGGAGCCCGGGGTAGAGCAGGCCGCTGAGGAGCGGGCTCTCGACCTGCTTGACGACCTCCGCGCCGGCCTTCTTCGCGTCGTGCTCGGTGACGGTCGCGCAGAGCTTGTAGTTGTCGAGGTTGTACTCGCGCGTGAGCTGGTAGGACGAGCCGAGCACGACGCGCAGCTTCGAGGTCGGGATGCCGAGCGACTTGAAGACGGTGATGAGCAGCAGCTCGTAGAATTTTGTGCGGTGCGCGACGAGCTCGAGTGGCGCTTTGAGGTTGTCGAGGAAGGCGTGGACGTCTGTGGGCGGTTAGGAGGGGCTATACGGATGTGAGGAAGATGAATACGTACCGGCGAGAAGGATTTTGACCTGTAGTGTTCCTTCCTTGTAAGCGCAATTCAAAGGATTGTGTACGATCGGACGCACCTCAACACCAGCCCTCAGAAAATCAGCAATCTTCGCCAGCGGAACGAAGTACCCAACATGTGCTGCCCATCCACAGCCCAATAAACCCTCCTGCCTTCGAATTCAAAGACAAATTCACTCACGTCGTCCCGTAGGCGCAGTTCCTGTCGCACCATTCCCAAAAATCCCATTAGCAGCTGTCCACTAGGCCCAACCAACAACGTGCGCACCCCAGTAGCATTTCGGTGTCTTCCCCTGCTGCAGCAAAGCCTTGATCGAGTCGCCGCCGAGCACCTCCTGCAACCGCCGCGTAATCAGGTGAAACTTTGCGTCCACGGCTTGCTGCGAAACCTCCACGGCCGCAGGCGCAGGTTCAGACGCGGGCGTGGGCGCGGCAGACATGGTCAAGGGAGTCAAGTGCTATAAAATGTGGATTTACAGGCGCGGCAGCTGGTAATCTATGCGATCGAGTCATCTGCACTGCGGCCATCTCCGAGAGTCTGCAGCTGCGAGAGGGGTTGCTGCCAGCACACCAGTGGAACTTTCTCAAATGAGACAAGAAGATTTGACGAGATATATGACGGGAAGTACAAGAGACTTTCTCCCAATGAGAAATAATCGCGATGAGCTGAATTGACTTTCGTCGAGAATTTCATGCAATGCTATCATAGGTGCTCAAATTCAAATAAAAGCATCTCCCGTTTAGCTCAGCTGGTAGAGCGCGTCACTAGTACCTTACGCAGGTCAAATGACGAGGTCAGTCGTTCAAGTCGGCTAATGGGAAATTCGATAGAGACACCTAAGAGATACCTGTTTTTTTTTTCACTGCAGTCTTGAAAATCCCACTCGTTGGGTGATGTGTGCATGTGTTAAAAATGACGACATTCATAGTGCGTCCGATCAACATCGGCGCAGCGAGAGGCCACCTCAAAGCAGAACGCCTGAGACTGTGCAGTAGCGGAGAACACAATCTAGTGATGTATAATTAATCCAAGTAGATCACAGTATGTAAACCGGGCATCTATACTTTTACGCCCTTGCACCCTCCCACTGTCCAGCACAAGCATCCACCTCCAAAACGGAGCAGAGGCTAAGGTACCGGTCCTGGGACGAGACGATCTGGTGGTAGATTTGACGAGGCGTATCTCCACAGATATCGATACGGGCGTAGGATAGAAGAGCGTGGCCCGGGTACGGGTATTCGGTATGCTCGTTCTGAGTGATGAGCAAGGAACCCATCGTGGGCTGTGCATAACGGCGCTGGGGAAATCAGGTCGAAGGTGCCTCCTGCGATGATTTCTGCTCGCGAAGCTTTTCCAACTTTCCGCTGAGCTTCTTGGGTCTCGCGTCTCTGAAGCCCGAGCAGAACCAGTATCCTTCGCTAGACTCCGACCTGCTCGAAGACGGTTTCACGTATAGCACGTTGCGGAAATTTGGTGCCAGATTCTTGTCACAGAATTTCTGCAGTGCCGGATGCTGGAAGTGTTTGAGCCTATACGGTGTCCTTGTCAATCCTTTTAGGTTTGCTGGTGGTCAATGAGAACGTACAACAAGACACCGCCCTTCCCGTCTCCAATTTCTGCTGCAGACCGCAGATGGCGTTCCACAAATTGCCAAACGGCCTTACAGATATCCAGACTAGCCTGAATGTCGCGCGTGGTATTTCCAGACATGTTCGCCATCATGTCTGACAGGACGATGTCGACCTTACCGTCCGGGTTCGCGTCACTCTGCAGCAGTCCCATGATCATGCTGTCCGCGTCAGGGGAGAGAAAGTCCATCTGGAGCGTATGCACGCCAGAGATGGGCTGCATGCGCAGCTTGTCCACCGCGATGATCGTCAGGTCCTTCTTTGGCGATGGCGGACGCGAGCCAGCAGCAGCTTCCGCATTCGTGCCGGTATCGGCTTCGGTATCCACCTTCGGCTTGCCAGACACGCTCCAAAAACCGCTCTCCTCGAGCAAGTCCTCCGGCCCTGCCTTCAGTCCAAACCGCTTTTCCTCCTCCTCCGCTGCATCGAGACGACTGCCCTTCCCCATCCACTCATCGTCGCGGATGCCATGCAGCCCCGCGATGACCTGGGTCCATCCGCCTGGTGCCGCGCCGAGGTCCACGATTGCGTGCACGTGAGGCGCACGGAGAAAGTTGCGGTAGCGGTCGTTGACCTCGATGAGCTTGAACGCGGAGCGCGAGCGGTAGTTCTTGGGATGCTCGAGGCGCCGGCGGATATATGGGTCGTCGAAGTGCCGCGCGAGCCACGCTTTAGAGGATGCGCTGTGTTTTCCGCGGAAGAGAACCGCCGTGGCGCGGAAGGACATGAAGTCGACGAGGCGGAGGCAGTAAGTAGGCCTGGGTGGTGACTGGTGCGCGAGCAGAGGATGAGTGGCCGGATTTGGGAATTGTTTGGCAACGCCTTTGGATCCAAACAACCGGTGCGGTTCTCTCTGCCCCGGGCCGGCTCCAAGTTTGTCTTCAATATTGTTGTCCTTACCCTCAACTTTCATCGCAGGCTTTCAACGTGTAAATCAGATTCTTTACTCTCAAAAGAGAGTCGTGTGGACAACAACGCCCTCGATGTCGCGGGAGAGCTTGGTCCCAGGGTACCGCCAGGTAGAGTCGTTCGGGCCAGACGATGACTACGAGCGCACCGCAGAGGGAGACATCGAAGAAGAGGTCTCGTACATCACGCTCGACCTAGGCAACGTCGAGCCCACTCTCGTCCCCAGCAGCTCCACCTACCGCCTCATCGTGAGTACGTTCATCTGCTCCCGCTCGCCGTCAATTCACCGCACACACGTACATGGCACATGACACGCACGGCTGCATCAAGTAGGGACTGGACACCCCACATCCGTTTCTACAGCTTGCGGGGACGGTGTTTAAGGGCCGCCATCAGGACCTGCTGGGCACGGAACTGATTTTCGCGGACGCGCAAGGAAAGCATCCACCCCTATGCGTTACAAACCATCGCGTCTTAATTATCATTCATGCACGAACAGATAGTGCAGACGCGAGCCAGAAATCCGTGGTGCACCTGGCCAACACGGAGCAGCGCGTTCAGTTCAAGGAGGTAGAGCTCAAGCCTAGAAATTCCGCCGAGCAGGCGTCTGCAGCCGGATCTCGGAAGGGAAAAGGGAAGGAAAAGGCCGTGCAGAATGGGCATTCGACGTCACAGGATACCCAGTCTGTGCCATTAGAGGGGGAGGCCATGGACACCTCGGAAGGATGAGAATGCCCGATGTCGACTGTATTCTCCAGTGACGCTGCGTGGTAGGGCATCCATTACGTCTACCCTTTGTCTTTCACATTGTGCTGAGACTGGTCTTCCTATAGGAGAAGGACCGGATGCGAATTTTTGCTGTTCTGTTCGGGCACCTCGGCGCAGCCAGTGTCTTCCATCTCAGGACGCTCGCGTCTTTGAGTGTATTCATTGTGATGTTTGTTTGTATCCATTACAGTTGCAGATAATTTTCCACTGCTGTCATCTTACAGAAGACCGCTTTCACTCTCCATTGTTCTTTCGGCGTTGCAGGATGACGCGTGTACGCCCTGCAGCTCTATCGACGCAAGAATAGCCCCTCTACAGACGCGCCCACACCATATGGCACATTTGCCTCGGCCCTCGAGCCAGCCATGTCGCGGTCACGGAAATGAAATCGCAGGTGCCTGGCACATGCATCCCTTTGTATGCACCCGTCGAAGCGCCTAGAGGCTGGATGCTGCATATGGCAGGCCCGTGCCCTTTCTCTCAGCACATCCTGTACGCCGTGTACGAGGTTTGGTAGGATTATTGCTGGTGAGGAAATTAGCCTTGTGCCGGGAACATCGAGCTCGTACGTCGTGCTATTCATCTCTTTCGCTGGACCTGTTGTTTCAAGGTTGGACGGTTGGTCTTTCAGTTCACGCTAGGCTCGAGTGGCACGAAAGCGCAGATTGGCTTACCAGATCAACTCCAACACGCCGCGGCGTCCGTCGTCACGGGGGTTATTTTAAGGTTAAACTCAGCGTGCAAGTACCTTTCTCGGCACCTTCGTGTACTTGGAGAAGGATCGATAGCCGCTGCCTGTATCTTCATCCCCTTCGGGGGTTTCCTTCTCTCGAACGCACTGCGATCGGATGTCCAGCCTTCTTCGGCGCATGGGTACATGAAGGCTTCGCTGCGCGCGCATATATATAAAACGACGGACGCATAATTGTTCAGATTTCGAAGCCAAGGCCAACGGACGCATACATGTTACAACGTTATTCAACAGGGATCCAAAATTCGAACGTAAGTGCTACTACTTGGTTTTCTTGATTTTCTGGTCAGGAAGAGAAGAAGATAACACGTCGATGGGAATCATAGAAATCGTAAGTTTCGGCTCCGCTCGCCATCCTCCGTCCCCTCTATTCGCCTCCTAATCCATCGCCTGACTTCTCCGCTCGTTGCTAGTAATTCGGCGGACGACGCTTCTTCAGAGGTTGAGGTCGACGGGAACGCAGCCGAGGGCGACGACGCCGTCTGTTCAAAGAGCGTCAGCGACCGCACGCGACAATATCAAAAGGTAAAAAATCTGCCGCAGCCAGGCTTACTGAAGTTGTTATTGTCGCAACACACAGGCGAGGCCGAGCTATCATATATCAACCGCTCGTCAGCACAATCCCGCGAGCACCGATATCAACGGCGGCACTCACCAGGTAGCACCGCTCCCAACACCGACGACCGAGATCGGGGAGCAGGTAATGCCGATGGGCGTGGTGAGGTCCTGCAGGACGACGCCGAGCGACGCGAGGAGGCTCGCGGCGGCGGGGCTGCTCGCGCTCTGCACGCTGTCGCAGCACTGCACGGGCGCGGTCGAGCACTCGCTCGCGGGCTCGTTGCGCTTGGCCGGGGTCGCGCTGGCGGTCGCGGCGGCGGCGGCGAGGGCGGTGAGGAAGAAGAGCTTGGAGAACATTGTGTGTAGGTGAGAGTGGTGGGTGAAGAGGCTGGTTGGGGTCGTTGGGATGCTCGGTGAGGAGTGAGGGTTGTCGATGGTACGGAGGCCTCTTTATACGTTTCGCGACGGCTAATTCTGCACCACAGGTGCGTCGCATGGGAGAGGCCAGAGGCATGAAACAGTCACCGGTTTGGATTGGAGTCTCTGCGCGTGCGTATCTCCCCATATTGGAGTGGAGCCGTTGCCAGAGGAGAAGGCGGTGAGTGAATGCACGGCTTCAAATTTGGATTAATTTCACAATGCGAAGAGGGCGACCGTGACGGCGTGGATGTTTGGCTTTTGGGGGTGGTGAGCGGGAGGTTGGGTTGTGAGTTGTGGAGTGGGGCTTTGAGAAGAGAAAGGTGGAGCGGGTGAGAAGCATGAGGGTGTTGGGTTGGGTTGGACGAGTTGGACGCTTGATCTTGAGGACTCGTCGATTCGCATAAGCCTGAGTACTGGTGAATCGAAGGATGAGAGGTGGGTAGGCGATTTTCTACGGGTCGGCCGTCGTGGTCGACATTGTCTTGAATAATTTCAAGACCCAGGGTCCTCAAAACATTGTACGTACGTACCGCCTTGTCTGGACCTATCCGCTAACTGAGCTCAGGGACAATCAGAGGCGATAGCTCCAATGCACCACCGCCAGCATCCGGATCCGAAGGCCGAAACAGATACATGTCCTGACACCAACATTTGGAGCTGCCACGTTCGCGCTCACGTTCATGTCCAAGGCGACCGTGGACCAAGCCACGAAGCCGACGCGGTGTGCGGTGTGATACCGGGCCTATAATTGGCCTTATTCTGATTCTGTTGAGAAGACTGGCTTGGC